GCCCGCGGCTCCCGCGCCCCCTCCCCTGCACCTGCCCCGAGCCCGCGGCCCCGGCACATTTCCATTTCTGTTTATCATTCATCAAAATGGCGACCAGGTTTTCGGAAGAGACCCCGTCTTTGCATTTAATCGGTCCCGAGGCTGACCATTGAAATATCCTAGATCTGGGCGAGAGGGTCCGTCCAGGAGGAGGAGGAGGAGGAGGAGGAGAAGGAGGAGGAGGTGGAGGAGGAGGAGGATGACCCCCGAGTGAGGTGATGGCCGCCCAGAGATGCGCGCTGCATTTAACAGTCTGATAAAATAAATAAATAAATGGCACTTGGGTAGCAGATTGCAAATGCTTGGGGCACCGGAGAGTTTTTCCTCTGTCCATCCATCCCCTTGCTTTGGGCTACAAGTAGTATGCAAAATCTTGATGAGTGCATGCCCTTACCGCACTTAGATTGTCAGTACAAATTTCTCATTGATTTGTCTTCAAGGGTGTGCATACGAGGGGGGTGTCTGGTTCGGTGACTTGTTAGTTAACATCCTGCGCTTCCTTGGAAGATGAGTTATAACGGGACCGGTATCGCTTCTTCATTTGCACTGGAGTCATCTTAACAATGCACCCAATGCATCGAAGCAGAGGTGAATTTATCTCCAGCATATCCATTAGAAACGGATTGGGGGTCTTGTGAGTGGCACGCCGCAAAATTTGGAATATTCATTCACATTAAAAACCTAGATTTACCGGGGTGTTTCCTAGTTGAGACATGATCAGGGTGATGGGAATTAAAGTTTATGAAGTTGGGTTTATTTTCTGAAACATTTCATTTTTCGTTTCTTTGGTTCATCGACCCCTCTCTCCCTCTTATGGTTCTTTTGGAAAAGGAGCTATTTGGTCACTTTTAAGTGCATTTAATGTAAATGACTCCTAAGCTTTTTAGTATTGGCAAAATTCTTCTTAAGGTCTTTTAATTAATGAGCTTAACCGAGATCATAGTAGACTAAGAAGTGCTAAAGAAATACGTCAGGATTAGTTAGATTTGTCATTCTACTACATTAAGTTGATTCCTGGCAGTTACTGAAGGCTTGGAATACACCCTACAGTTTGGGTTGATTATTTGGTACGAGAATGGTTGTTTTGCTTACTTTAAGTAGGACATAGGCAATGGCTAATTGTAGTGCTTATGTGCTTGCTAATGACAAACAAATTTAGCTCATCACTATTTACAGTCCTGGGTTGTTTTTTTTTTTTTTTTTTTTTTTTCTCTTTCAGTATGTTAAGTGAAGGTTTGTCATCTTATAAATCTCTGAAGTTTTGTTAAAGGGTCAATTCTTTTTTCATTTTACCATAGTAACCACAGATGGAATTGGAAGACTTCCATGTTTGGAATAACAACTGGAATTTAGTCATCAGTTTCTACAGTGCTGCAAAATATTAGAACATGTTTAGATTTTAATTCCAGGTTTGGAAGTACAGATCTTGCAAATAGGATACGTACTTATTTTTCAGCGTAATTGGCTTATTTTCATTCTTTAAAAAAATTTAATTCCCTGTTTCCTGCAGCTATATGTCCAGTGCTTTAGTTGCTGTGTTTCTTTCTCGAGGGTGGAGTGGGAATACAAAGTTTAAATCATCATGTTAACCAAGAATATTTCTTTGCATTTTTCAGAAGACGGCCAGTATTTTCTAAAGGTTCTCATACCTAGTTATGCTGCTGGATCTATAATTGGGAAGGGAGGACAGACAATTGTTCAGTTGCAGAAAGAAACTGGAGCCACCATCAAGCTGTCTAAGTCCAAAGATTTTTATCCAGGTAGGTGCCGTGGTGAAAAGACTGTTTGATGAATCCCCAAGGAAAGAGATAGAAAAACCTACTTTTGTGTTGTTTTAAAAATATGAAATAGTGGATACTTATTAATATTGCTGTAGGAGAATATATTATGGGAAAAATTTCAACATATTTCCATTGTTAATTATGCCTTTTTTGTAATTGATATACTGTGTATGTGATTTAGACTAATTGCCAGAGCATTTGGGGTATTTTCTGCATACTTAGTAGGGAAAATACACAAAAATTTAAAGATAGAAACTTGAACAGCTGGCACCAGGAAATAGGGTTCTTCTGAAGTTTTCAGACATCATTGTAATGACAATTAGTCTAGAGTGAATTCAGAAGGGGGAGGGAGGCCTCTTAAAGAATGGACCATTTACTTCTGAATCCATTATGTACCTCTTTCTGCTTCATTGCTTTGTTTGTTGGCCTTGGATGAAGTAAAGAGGACAAGTGCTGCCTCCTCAGATTTTTAAAATATTTTGGTTTTAATGTAATTAGATAAGGAATTTACTGTATTATTATGTAAGAAGTAAAATAATGCTATGAAATTTGTGTTACTTTTTGATTAAAATATGTTAACTGTCAGTGTGGTACAGTACCCTAAGGGTATGGTAAGTTCCTAGGTGCTGTATTTTTCTGTTCTTTTTACTTTTCAGTTTTTTCTCTTTAACTTATTGTTATATAGTTGTGGATGTTCATATTTTTGTTGTGTATTATTTTGTTACTCAGTATTTTTCAGCTTTATGGAGAAATTTCCAAAGTGGAATAGTGTGTCTCCTAGATAAAACATTACTAGGTGATTCGCTTTTACTTAGATCTAGATTTCTGTCATTTTGGGGTATTATTTTATCTTTATGGCTACAGAGGTACAATTCAACGCTAAGGGGACCGAGGCGGCTTCTTTATTTTTCTGGTAAAAAAGAAAAGCTGATTTGCGTTCAGCGATCTAATTCACTAAGAGTTCTTTAATACAGCAAGACATCTGGCATGAATGTAGGCAGAACATTTGTAGGACTTTTTTTTTTCCATAGCCAATCCTTTGGCGGTAGAAATGGACCATTGTACTAGAGAAGATTTTAGAATGAAACTTACCATTAAGTTATATAAATTAGGTAATATTTTGGTAAACATTACTTATGAATTAAAATGTAATCTATTAGATATGTTCCTCTAAAGTTTGCTTTCTGTAACTGTAGTTTTACAGATGGCTTTTTTAGTCCTTAAACTTTACTTACGCTTTGGAAAAGTTTTTTAATATACTCACATTCATATATTTAAAAGGTATAGTATGATAGAAAAAAAATCAACGTGGAATTGTTGAAAACCCTTAGTGCAAATTAAAACACTCAAAAGAGCTTGATTGCAGAATTAATAATGTGATAGTTCTAGGAAAAGACCTGCAATGGTAAATTAAATTCACTGTCAATAGATGAAAATGAAAATGCTTTTTTGCATTATACATGAGGTGGTATCAGATGTGCAGGGATGTTACAGAAAATTGGTGTTTATCTAGGATATTCCAAATAGTAAATTAAATGCCTTTTCATTTGAGTATAGTTTATCTTCAGTGGGTTGGAAAGGGTGCACTGAGAATTAGATCTTTTGTTTTTAGTCTTAGTTTTGCATTTTTTCTTAATACATAGAAATTACTTATTTTATTTATAGTTCTATGACATGTTATTTGTGTATAGCCAGAATATCATTTGAAAAAAAAAATGGAAAGCTGGAATACACTGAATAAAATTTTGTGAGTATAGTGACGTAACCTGATCAAATGTGAGTTAAAATGTCAGATATGAGAAGGCTTATACTTTGCCTGTAACAGGTGGAAACCAACTGTACTTAATGAAATCAACTTAAAGAATATGAACCTTTTATTTTTAAAAAGGTTTAAGAATTTTGAAAAGTTTGTATTAAAATATAATTTTAATTTGATTATCACCTGTATGGACAGACAGCTCTCTTCTGGCTAGACTTTACTTCTAACATTCTTTCTGTTCACACATGACCATAGCCTGTGGATTTATCTGAGGTCTTAATCTTCAGCATAACAGCCTCTGAGCTTCTTCCAACTTCCCTTATTCAGGCATACGTGAGGAATACTTACCTTGCACGTCTCACTCTCAAATCAGCAAAATTATATTCATATTTCCGAGTGTAAAGAATTTCTTGTGGGGTTATGGAACAAATTGATAGCTTATTTTTGTATATGTGTGTACATATTTGTGTGTGTGTGTGTGTGTGTGTATGTGAGACACATACACATACATACATCACATACGACTGTAACATTCTCTGTTAGAACGAATATGCCTGATGCTTATTTCATGAAGTGTATGTCTATTTCTTTGTAAGAAAGTATATTTGGGAAAAAGAGTATTTCATGTATATAACCTAATGAACATAAGCAGACTGTCTTAGTTTTTAAGTCAAATATAATTGTGTTCCCAAACTTAGTTAAAATACTAATAGATTTTTAAAAACTTTTTCCAGGATAAATAACAGAATAGAGTCACACTTTGGTGATACTAATAAATTTCAACTCAAATACTAGGTATATTTAAAATATTGCGGCCAATATTATCTCTTTTGTTTCGTTTCCCCCCTCAGCTTATAGGTTTAAAATTCGTAAGCAGCCCTGTCTTTCAGAGTAGTGATTTTTAAACCTTGGTTGAAAGGAAGAAAACAGTTTTGTTTATTAGCTGGTATTAATTTATAATTCAGGCAAATGGATATTGCATTGTGTATTTCATTGTGTCATAAATGTAGCTTGAGAAAATTGTGTAAGGAAGAATTTTAAAGTACATTATTCAATTACTGTAATCAGAAAAAAATGATCTACAAGTAGATTTATTTTACTTTTGCTGTGCTATATAATTCATTTATCTATTTTCAAAAATCTAATCTTACCAAGTATTGACTTATTACTGGTGGCTTAGGAATATATCCTTTTTCTTACTTGATTAAGAAACCTAATTTGATTTATTTAAACATTCTTTTATAATTAGGTTCTATAAAGTTGCTCTTTAGTTAAAATCATTTTCTCATTTTGGGGAATATGTTACTGTGCATTTTTAGGATGGTGATAGTTTTTTTATTCTTCAGTCATCTGAAGATGTGTTTAGTTTTTGTTAATAGATTGATTTTATCTCTTCAGAGTATTTAGTGGGTGGTCAAATATTTGAATGGAAAAACTTTCTGAGTAGATTATTGGTTGGGAAAAATGAAAGGATGTATAAAATAAATATTTCTTGTGTTCATCAGATATGAGAAGACTCAACACTATACTTATTCCTAGTCTATACTGAGACATTGAAGCTACTCATTGTAGCACACTGGAGTCCTTCACTATGATATGGGAATCTGTGTGTAGTGTAAACTGTTTTCATATTGGTATTTGTGGTTATAAAATTAAATTACATGTAACATAAATTATTTCCTCTTATGGTCTTTAAGTTAAAATTTGAATTTGTTATATCTAGATTCTTTATGTCTTGACTTTATCGCTGTCCAATAGGAGTGTTGCTTTCTTCTGTAATCACAAGTCATTTATTCATTAGATCTTTTAAAATTATGAAAGCACCCAATGTAAATGACATTTTCCTCAGTGAAGGAAATGCCTCATACTATTTTTATTTTGACATGGGTGAAAAATCTGTAGTCATTTTAGCCTTTAGGCTTGGGATTATATATGCATGATCATTTTTTTTTGAAAAGTCAAAGGACATGACGAAATTTAAAATTGACCATTTTGTTTATATTATTGAAGGAAAAATATTACAATATTGGTATTATAAGATGAATACATTTCTTACAGCTTCTAAAAGTTTCAGTCTGTACTTTTTCTTTGATCTTAAATGTATAGAATCTTACAAATTTATTGGTTTATATTTTAAGGCAACTTTAATACAGAAATAGAATTGTAAGAAATAGAGAAAAATTTTTACTATCCAGCCTTGTTAGGTGGGTTTTATGATATAGTATCATATTATATTGCAATTGTGTCTTTGGTTTTGTATGAGCAAGGATTTGCTGACACCTGAACTTTTAAAAATTCTTCAAGTTGTGATGTTCATATTTGATACTGTACCTATTGTTATATTTTGGCTGTTTATCATTAAAGAGAAACATAATCTTTCAATTAGGTATTAATATCTCTGAAATTTTCCTACATTTACATTTTTAAGTAATTTTTAACTTTTATATTTAAGACAATAGTAATTCTTAGTATGTGAAGAACTAGTCCTAGCATAATTTATATTAACTGTAATATTTGGAAGATAATTTTCATACTTATCTCATGTATGCAAGTGTTTCATATCATGGGCTTTAAAAATTAGCATAAATATCTTAACAATTTATTTCACTCGATTCCTTTTGATTTCATTCAGATATGTCTATAATTGAATTAGCAGGTTATTGAAGATCAATGACTTAAAGTGTTGATGTTTTCATTAACTGTATGATACAATGTCACTTTTAAATTTGCTATTTAAAGGCTGCTGAGTTTTCTAAAACAAGCTCACATAAAATTTGTGATGTGAGAAGGGAATAACCTGACAACATTTTCTTGTGTATTTCACCCCAAAGAATTTCAGGAATAGTGACCAGAGTTGGTAAACTATTTCAAAGTGTCTTTTGTTTAAAGTGTTTCATTTAATATACCAAGGGGAATAATTATTTGTATCTTGGAAATGCTGAGTAGTATGTGGTATCGATAGAAACTTAACCAACAAACCATCCATCAGTCAAAAACTTGTGTACTTAATAAATATTTTATTTTGTTGTACTTTTGCTCTAAGATTTTAAAAAAAAGTTCACTGACACATATCATGCCACCTGTTAACTAAAATTCAGCAACTAATAAACATTTTGAAACAATAAGTTTAGTCTTGGTTGTTTCTAGCTTAGTAGAGCCATGTTTTAAAGTACAACTCATGAACAAGTGTGGCTTTTTAAAATAAAACTGGGGGTGGTGG